ATGAAGGACCTGGTAGGGCCGTGAAGGACCTCGGGGGGGGGACATGAAGGACCTGGTAGGGCCATGAAGGACCCATTGTGTGCAGCGCAGGACCTCGGGGTGCCATGCAGGAGCCGGAGGGGCCATGCAGGACCTGGGGGGGCCGTGAAGCACCCTGGGGGGGCCATGCAGGACCTGGGGGGGCCACGCCTGCCCTACCTGTGGCTACGAGCCGCTCTCCTCGTGGTGCGTCGGCTCGCAGAAGAAGCGCGATCCCCTCTTGGCCGTGCGCGCCGTGAAGGGAACGCTCTTCAGAGCTATGGGGGGGGGACGACAAAAACACCGTCAGCCCCCCGGCTGTGGGGTGGGGGGGGGTGTGGGGCCGTGGGGGGGGGCTGTACCGGTGATGATGTCCTCGATGGTGCCGTCCTTCCCCTCGTACACGGGGCGATGCTCCTTGGCTTGGCGCCGGCGCAGCTCTGCGATCAGCTCCTGCTGCTGCCATTTGTTGCGCTGCAATTTGAGGGGGGGGGAGGTCTGGGTTGTGTAGCCCCCCAATAAACCCTGCCCCCCCCCTTCCCCCCACCCCCAGGACCATCCCTGCTGACCTTCTCCTGCTTTTTGGCCTCCTGTGCCAGCAGCTTCTCGCGCATCACCTCCTCCTGCTTCTTCCTCGTCTCATTCTCCTGCTCTGCATCCTGCAATGGGGTTGGGAGGGGTCAGGAGGCAGCCCATACCTGGACAACCCCCCCCCCAGCCCCCCAGCCCCCCCCCCCCCCCCTTTGCACCCCCACTCACTTTGTAGGAGCGGATGAAACGGGCGAACACTGGGAAGAAGACGGAGGGGGGGGTGGTCTTGGGGCTCTCCCCAAAGTATCGCACCACTGCGTTGTAGGCATCCTGCAATGGGGGGGGGGAAAGGAGGGGGGGTCAGCTGGGGGGGTGCACAAAGCTGTGTGCGTGGCAAGGTTTGCACGACCAGATCTGCATGTGCAAGGGGAGCAAGGCGTGCATCGCAAGGCAAAGTGCAGAGGATGCAAAGCAATGTGCTGAGGAAGCAACGTGCAAAGCAGTGCATGGGGAAGATGCAAGGCAAAGTGCTCAGGAAGCGTGCAAAGCAGTGCATGAGGAAGATGCAAAGTACTCAGCAAGTGTGCAAAGCAGTGCATGCAGAGGATGCAAAGCAAAGTGCTCAGGAAGCGTGCAAAGCAATGCATGAGGAAGATGCAAAGCAAAGTGCTCAGGAAGTGTGCAAAGCAGTGCATGCAGAGGATGCAAAGCAAAATGTGTGCAAAGCAATGCACGAGGAGGATGCAAAGCAAGGTTTGTGGCAAGGCACTCAGAAGGGACGCATGCACAGCAAAGCAATGCATACCGAAGAAATGTGCAAAGCAAGAAATGCGCGGGCAGCCTGCAGAGCAAAGCTCCCAATCAAGAGCCGTGCAGAGCAAAGGGTGCTGAAGGAGCACACGGTGCAAGGAGTGCACGCACGAGGGCTGTGCAAAGCAACGCACAAACTGCACACAAAGCAAAGCACGAGGGGCACGCAGAGCTCTGCAAGCGTGCAAAGAAACAGCGATGCTGCAAAGCTGCGGGCGTGAAGGGCCTGGGGGGGCCAGGAAGGACCCAGGTGTGCATGCAGGACCGGGGGGGGCAGGAAGGACCTGCAAGACAAAGCACGTGCCAGGGTGTGCAGAGCAAAGCATGCAGAAGGAAGCATGCAAAGCAAGCAAGCAAGCAGCTCACTGGGCAATGCAAAGCAATGCAAAGAAAGCAAAGCAATGCAAAGCAATGCAAAGCAATGCAAAGCAATGCAATGCAAAGAAAGCAAAGCAATGCAAAGCAAAGCAAAGCAAAGCAATGCAAAGCAAAGCAAAGCAATGTAAAGCAAAGCAGAGTAGAGCAAAGCAATGCAGAGCAAAGCAAAGTGATGCAAAGCAAAGCAAGGCAAAGCAAAGCAGAGTAGAGCAAAGCAATGCAGAGCAGAGCAGAGCAAAGCAATGCAAAGTAATGCAAAGCAAAGCAAAGCAACGCAAAGCAAAGCAATGCAATGCAAAGCAATGCAAAACAGAACAGAGCAGAGCAAAGCAAAGTAAAGCAAAGCAATGCAAAGCAAAGCAATGCAACGCAAAGCAACGCAAAGCAACGCAATGTAAAGCAACGCAAAGCAAAGCAATGCAAAGCAAAGCAGAGTAGAGCAAAGCAATGCAAAGCAATGCAAAGCAAAGCAACGCAACGCAACGCAAAGCAAAGCAAAGTAATGCAAAGCAAAGCAATGCAAAGCAATGCAAAGCAAAGCAAAAGCACGCGTGCTGAGGTTTGCAGAGCAGCGTGCATGCCAGGAGCATGCAGTGCTTGCACAGCCCCACCTCTGCAGTGCGTGCATCCTTCTGCAGCCTCTCCAGCTTGCCCTCGCTGCCCGCCAGGAAGGAGCGCAGGACGCTGCTCTCGTGCAAACTGCATTCGCGCCGCAGCAGCTCCAT